TTCTTCCGTTTCAAAATATAAGATGTTTTGACAATTCTATATTTTTTTTTAATTTTATTGAATATTGTATGACCACTAATATTTTGCAAACTTTTGTGTAATTGGTCAAATTATTTTATTATATGTATTAAATGATACTTTTTAAAATAAAAGTAGTTTTTTAATATCTGCATTATTACCTAAAACATCTTACATTTTGAAACGGTGAGCGTATATTTTTTGTAAGCCGGGAGCTAATCCGAGCTTTTACTACCCGACTAATCTCGCAGAATGAATATAACCGTCGAGTAGCCTACTCATCAAAATTTTTAATGGACCTAAAGCGTGGTACCATTTAGACTGATCAAATGAAAGTGGTTCGATAATTCCACGCTTGAGGGGAATTGAACCTTGGCATAGACCCAACAATTCTTTTTTCAATTGGGAACCACTAGCCTACTACCACTTGATTATATTAATAGTATATTCTAATAATTGTTTTTGTTATTATCATTCATTGTTGTAATAGTGATACTAATAATGCATCGGACAATTCAGAGTTGTAATGTAACAGTTGAAAGGAGGAATTTCGCAAGATGAGATGTAACATACACATCATTATTTAGTCAAATACATTTTAGATTTCTTTTTCAAATAATTTAGAGAAACAAAAGTTTGGATTGGGTTGGATTTTATATTGTATTGTTTTTTCATGCAAACTTTCACGAGACGTGACTCTACATTAAAAGTTATTTATATAAAAATTTAGAATTTTAACTCCAACAAAAAAAAAGTTAAAGAGACCTTCTAAATTTTGTTCAAATGAATCAAAATACAAATCACTACAAAGATAATAATATATTAAGCTGAAAAAAAATCTAGAGACAAAATCAATACTACCCACGTTCCTTTTGTAACACAATTATCTTTCTTTATTAGCTAACTTAAAGATATAAGAAAATTTAAGTACTTAAAATGAAAAGATCTGCCTAAGAATCAAACACATTTTATATTGTCTGATTTTGTTTCTTTCTGTTTTTTAAATTGCTTTACAGTATTTTTAACCAAAAAAAATGTTCAGCTGTTAACAGAGCCAATATATATATTCAAGAAAATGAATTACTCTGAAAAGAAAATTCAAGAAATTATGAAGTAGCGTGAGTTTAGGGACAGAGAAGAGAAACAGCCAACATGGTGGTAGGTTGATTTTTACCAAAAGAAGAAAAAGTATGTTGATAGGAGTCTACTGGTGGGCCTTGGATGGGCCTGCTATGTAAGTTAACCGGATTTTGTTTTTTTTTCCGGTTTTGAATGATCGAAATTCGTATAAACGGTTCAAGATTATGAACACATAAGTTCGGCTCTTCATTGATCCAAATTTGTGTCCCTTTATTAGAGGTTGG